GGACAGCCCAAGAGAGGTCCGAAGCGGCCCGGGAGCACTCCAAGACTGTTAAAAAGCTGCCAAAGCGTCCCAGCAGGTCTCCGACAGCACTCTCGGGAGGGGCCCACTAGGAAATTGTAACTGATTTTTAGTGGGTTTTGAAGGGTTTTGGCGTTCTCCCCAGTTCGGCTTCCAGACGCTCCAAGGCGGCCCAAGAGGCTCGAAAGATCGCCTCAAGACGAGCCCAGAGGCCCCCAAGAGACCACCGAGACAGCCCAAGAGGGCCCCAAGACGGCCCAGGAAGCTTCCAAGACGGCCCAAAAGAGCTCCCAGAACACTCCAAGAGGAGCCCCAGATGGGGAACACGAACTGACATTTCGAGCCCTCGCCCACCAGAAGCTCCCAAGAGGCCCCCAGGAGTCCGCAAGAGGCCTCGAGAGGCCCCCAGGAAGCTCCAAGAGGCCTCCAAAAGGCGCCGAAAGGGCCCCGCAAGGCTTCCAGACGCTGGTGATAATGACAATGATGATTATGCAGGGCGGCCTCGGGACCACAACCTAAATCCCCAATGCTGCTCACGCGGCATGCAAGACGCTGCGGAGATATCCTCGAGTTCGGCGGGGGAGCTTCGGAGACGACGGTGAGACGACTATTAAGAAGTTGACGACGACGATGATGATGATGAGGAAGAAGGTTATGATGATGATGTTGACAGTGGGAATGATGTTGATGATGATGCTGATGATGATGATGCTGATGATGATGATGATTATGATGTTGATGATGGTGATCGTGATGTGAGTGATGGTGATGATGCTGATGGTGGTGATGCTGACGATCATGATGACGATGACGGTGATGCCGTTGAGGATGGTGATGTTGACGATCATTATGATGATGCCTCTGATGGTCAGGATGATAACGCCGATGCTGATAATAATGGTGGCGATGCTGTTTATGGTGCTTGTGATGCAGGGGTGGGCAGATGATGAAGATGATGACGATGATGATGACGATAACGATGACGACGATCACGACGACGATGACGATGACGATGGCGATGATGAGGATGATTATGTTGATAATTCAGGTGACGATATTTTTACGATGAGGACGACGATGGCGATGATGACGATGGTGATGACGATGTTGCTGCTGATGGTGGTGATGGTGACGATTGTGATGATGGTGATGGTCATGGTGATGATGACGATGCCGCTGACGATGACGCCGGATATGATGGTGATGAGGATGGCGATGATGACGATGACGATTATCCTAGCTAGAACTTGAGCGCGCGCGAAGCGCGCGCGATGGTTCTAGTATATATGTATATACACATGCAGATGTGTATGCATGTGCAGACGTAGATATATGTATATGTATATGTATATGTATATGTATATGTATATGTATGTGTATATGTATATGTATATGTATATTTAAATACATATATATATATATCTATACATGTGTATACATTACACACGCACACGTCAAGTTTCTGTTGGATGTTCACTACTTTTGTTTTTTCGGCTTCAGATCGCTCTGCCAGGGGCCGGGGACACTTCCAAGCGGGTTCCTGAGGCCCACGAGGGCCCCCGGGAAGGCGCATGATGCCCTCCAAACGGCCCTAGATGGGCCTGGCCGGCCCCCGAGCCCGCCTCAAGACGCCCCCCAGCCCCAAGACGGCCTCAAGAGGGTCCAAGACCGCTTCGAGATGGTCCCAAGGCCAGCCCCGAGCGCCCCCGAGCCCCCGCACAACCGCACCAGGACGCCCCAAGGAACACCCAGATGGCCCCAGGAGGCTCCTAAGAAGGTCCCAAAGGCTCTTTGGGCCTCGTTCTCCTCCTCCTCCTCCTCCTCCTCCTCCTCCTTGTGCCACGCTGTTGTGTTCAAGTCCTCCTCCTCCTTCCCCCTCCTCCTTTCCCTCCTCCTTCCCCCTCCTTCCCCCAGGCCCCAAAGGGCTCCAATAAGGCTCCTAAGAAGGGCCCAAGTTGGCCCCAAGGTGGCCTTTGTGAGCGACCTCTTTTAGAGGAGACCAGCTGGTCGGCCCCACGCGCGCCGATGCCAGGGAGTGAGCGATTCGCTTCTCGAGCCTCCCGCCTCGCTTCTCTCTCTCCTTGCTCCTCGCTCCATGTTCCTCGCTCCCCGCCTCTTTCCTCGTCTGTCGGTCCTGGCTTCTCCCACCTCCCTTCTCGAACCCGACTCCTCGCTCCTCCCTCCTCGATCCACTCACGAGAAGCAGGCTGTGCCAGCTGATTAGCAAATGCACCGAGAATCAGCACCCTGCAGCCTCAAGCAGCATTAGCGAGCAGCAGCAGCAGCAGCAGCAGCAGCAAGTAACACCAGTGGCAACACATGGCAACAGCAAGCAAAAGCACCCTGCAGCCGCAGGCAACAAGGGCAGAGGCGAAGTTCGGGCCCAACGTCATCATGAAAGCCTTGCGGTAAGATCTCCGCCCTGATCCAACGTGCAGTCTCGGACACTTTTCGCGGCTGGTAGGCCACTGGTCAGCACTAGTCAGCTACAGCGTTGGGATCTCCGCATGCGAGAAGGGGGGGCAGTGGCAGCGGGCATTGAGGCTGCTCAGCGATATGTGGGATGCGACTTTGGAGCCCGACGTCATTAACTACAACGCCGGGATCAGCGCATGCGGAAAGGGCGAGCAGTGGCAGCGGGCTGTGGCGCTGCTCAGCGAGATGTGGGCGGCGAAGGTGGAGCCCGACATCACCTGCACTACAATTCTGAGTGTTGCGCGTGCGAATCAGGTCTTTAGTGAAAAACTGTCAACGATCGCCCGAAGCGCCCTGGGCCTTCCCAGAGGGCCCCAGGAGCTGCACAAGACGGCCCACGCTGGGCTCATAGGCGGCTCCAGCCCCCCACCCTGGCCCCAAGACGACCCAATAGGCCCCAGGGATGGCCCACGAGGGCCCAGGAGGACCCTGATGACGGCCATATCAAGATCGCACCAAGATGACCCAAGAGGCCCTCACGAGCCCACCAAGACTGCCCATGAGGGCTCCAAGACGGTCCTGTAAGGAGAAGGAGGAGGATGAGGAGGAGGAGGAGGAGGAGGAGGAGGATGGGGAGGAGGAGGAGGAGGAGGAGGAGGAGGAGGAGGAGGAGGAGGAGGAGGAGGAGGAGGGTGGCCACCCAATCAGGCCCCAGAAGCTGCACAAGAGGGCCCGCGCCGACCCCCAAGGCGGCCCCCGACCCCCACCCTGGCCCCACGATGGCACAATAGGCCCCCAGGACGGCCCACACAAGCAGAAATTGTGCATTGTCAAAGCTTTCTCCTCGTTCTTCCCATGACGGGTCCTGAACGGCCCCTAGCGGCTCCAGGTCCTATCAGGATTGCACCGAGATGACCCAAGAGGCCCTTACGAGCCCACCAAGACGGCCCATGAGGGCCCCAAGACGGTCCAGAACAGGTTTCGAAGAGCCTCATATACCTATACGACCACCCTTTAAGGAGGTTGTTGGGGGGGCGAGGGGGGGAACCAACATCTGACTCAATCGATTTCACCATCGATCTCACTCACTCAACGGGACACCACGGGACACCACGGGACACTTGTCGATCTCACTAACTATCGATCTCACTATCGATGTCACTCAACGGGACACCGCGGGACACCTTTCGATCTCATTATCGATCTCACGATCGATCTCACTCAACGGCAAACCATAGGACACCACGGGACACCTCGGGACACCACATCGATCTGACTATCGATCTCACGATCGATCTCACTCAACGGGACACCACGGGACGCCACGGGACATCTGTCGATCTCACTTTCGATCACACTATCGATTTCACTCAATGGGACATCACGGGGCACCACATCGATCTCAGTATTGATCTCGCTATCGATCTCACTATCAATCTCACTCAGCGGGACACCATAGGACACCACGGGGCACCGCGGGACACCTGTCGATCTCACTATTAATCTCACAATCGATTTCACTTTTTGGGACACCACGGGACACCTCGGGGCACCACATCGATCTCAGTATCGATCTCACCATCGATCTCACTATCGATCTCACTCAACGGGACACCACGGGACACCACGGGACACCACGGGACACCGCGGGACACCGCGAGCCACCGCCGGACGGACGGACGGACGGGGGAGAATCATTTGTCTTGACTTCACCCTAGCAACAGCGGACACCACGGGACACCACGGGACATCGCGGGACACCGAGGGCCACCGCCGGACGGACGGACGGACGGGGGAGAATCATTTGTCTTGACTTCGCCCTAGCAACGGCGGGCACCACGGGACACCACGGGACACCACGGGACACCGCGGGACACCGAGGGCCACCGCCGGACGGACGGACGGACGGGGGAGAATCATTTGTCTTGACTTCGCCCTAGCAACGGCGGGTTCATTTTTCTCGCGCGCCCACGCAGCTTCGCCTCGCCCGCACGCACGACACAAACGAAACGAAACGATTTCCCGGTTGAAGGTCTCTGTTCCACTGCGATCTCACCCCCCAACCTCCGATTTTCAAGTGGCTATCCAATCGGGCCCCAGGAGCTGCACAAGAGGGCCCACGCCGGCCCCCAAGGCGGCCCCCGACCCCCACCCTGGCCCCACGATGGCACAATAGGCCCCCAGGACGGCCCACACAAGCAGAAATTGTGCATGGTCAAAGCTTTCTCCACGTTCTTCCCATGACGGGTCCTGAACGGCCCCTAGCGGCTCCAGGTCCTATAAGGATTGCACCGAGATGACCCAAGAGAGAGGCCCTCACGAGCCCACCAAGGCGGCCCATGAGGGCCCCAAGACGGTCCAGAACAGGTTTCGAAGAGCTTCATATAACCTCAAGTGGCCACCCAATCGGGCCCCAGGAGCTGCACCAACCCAGATCATCCGATACCGATTTTTTCTGGTAGCGCTTCACAGGATCCAGTCGCGACCGAAATGTGAAAATCAGCGCTGGAAACAGGTAGCGAGCGGATTACATGCACGATCGAAATTGCACTTCAAAACCGGTAGCGCGCTACCGAAATAAGTTTCAGCGCTACCGAATTTGAGCGCGTCGTCGCTACCGAATATCGTTCAGCGCAATCGAATTTCTTTTCGGCGCTACCCACTTTCCTCTGAATGGGAATAGTAGATTTCAGCGATGGTGGTGATAGTGATGATGATGATGATGATGATGATGATGATGATGGTGATGACAACTGTGATGATGTTGATGATGATGCTGATGGTGATGATGATCACGCTTATGATGACGATGATGATGATGACGATGCTGATGATGATGATGATGATGATTATGATGATGATGATGTTGTTGGTGATGGTGATAATGATGATGAAGAAGATGATGCTGATGACGGTGATAATGATGATGATGACTGTGTTGACGATGGTGAGGATGATGGGAATACGGATAATGATGACACTGATGTGATTGCGATGCAAATGGTTCCAATGATGACGCTGATGGCACTGACGACCGCGATGATGGCATCGGGGATGATTGCGGTCCCGATGATGCTATTCTTGATGGTCGTGCTGATCATGATGACGGTGGTGATGATCCTAGTGATGATGATGATGATGATGATGATGATGATGATGATCATGATCATGATGATGATGCTGCTGATGCTGATGATGATGATGATGATAAAGGCATTGACGATAATGATGCTGCCACCAGCGGCATGCAATTAATGCTGATGTATGGTATTTCTGACGTTTCATGGTGTGGTCTGACGTTCGTTGACGTTTCTTGACGTTTCCCGACGTTTCCTGACGCTTGCTTGACGTTTCAAACGTCAGGGAACGTAAGGCAACGTAAGGAAACGTGTTGAGTATGAACAGCACAGATATATCATGTACATGTGTGAGCGATCACCATATTCAATTTACTATTCAATTTATAGCAAGTGCATATATCATTCGTGATGCTGGCATCGTCTAACACAACGTATGGCACTCGTGATGACTGGCACCAGCGGCAAGCTGTAAATGCTAATGGCATCGTTGAAATGATGATGATTGTGATGTTGATGATTCTGATGGCGATGATGATGATGATGATGATGATGATGATGATGATGATGATGATGATGATGATGATGCTGATGCTGATGCTGATGCTGATGAGGATGAGGATGAGGATGAGGATAGGGATGATGATGCTGATGATGATGATGCTGCTTCTGATGATGATGATGATGATGATGATGATGATGATGATGATGATGATATGATGACGATGGTGACGGTGATGCTGGTGATGGTGATGCTGATTGCGATGGCAATGATGATGCTGGTGATATTGTGATGATGATGGCCATGACGATGACGATGACGACGATGATGATGTTGTCGATGATGATGCTGATGATGCTGCTGCTGATGATGATGCTGATGGTGATGCTGATGCTGATGCTGATGCTGATGCTGATGCTGATGATGATCTTCGCGTTACGGATTCTTGCTTTCCAGCTAACGATTTTCGTTTCCCGTTGCCGAATGTTGCTTTCTCGCTACAATGTTCGCGTCGGACTCGCTACCGAAATTCGTTTCCCCGCTACCGAACCTCACCCTCCCAAATTGGCTCCTATTTGCAACTGTCTATCGCATTCGAAATCCTGGTACCCGGTCGCGACCGAAAATCGACGAACGCTTAAATCGACGAGCGCCTAAATCGCCACGCCGGGCTCCCAGGCGGCTCCAGCACCCCGCCCTGGCCCCAAGATGACCCAATAGGCCCCCAGGACGACCCACGAAGGCAGAAACCATGACTGTTCGAAGCTTTTCTCGCGTTCTCCCTTATGACGGGCCCAGCTTGGCTCCACTCGGCTCCAGGTCCCATCAAGATCGCACCGAGATGACCCAAGAGGCCCTCACGAGCCCACCAAGACGGCCCATGAGGGCCCCAAGACGGTCCAGAACAGGCCTCAGAGAGCCAACAGAGCTTCAAATTGCCTCCCAAGACGCCCTAGGAGCTGCCCAGGAGGGTCCTAACCAAGTTTCCCAGACGGCCCCAGACCAAAACCCTGGGCCCCCAGGACGGCCCAAGCGGGCCCACGAGGACTACGAAACTGGCCCCACGAGGCCAACAACCAAGCACTGACTTTTATAGTGGACATTCTCTTACTGACAAGCCCAGAACGGCCCCGCGCGGCTTCAGGCACTTCTACGGTCGCCCAAGGTTGCCCATGAGGCCCGAAACGAGCGCACCAAGACGGCCCACGCAGGCCCCCCCCCAAAGACCAGCCCCGGACGCCTTGATACAGAGCTTCAGCTGGCCCCCCGGCACGCTCCCAAAGCTGCCCAAGAGGACCCAATCTCAACCGAACTCCAACACGGCCCCAGACCCCCCTGCAATGGCCCCTCGACAGCCGTGGAGGCCCCGAGAACGGTCCCATAGCGCCCCAATGTGACCCAAAGGGGTCGCATAATGGTCCAAGAGGGCTCCACGAGCTGTTGCAGACAAAGGGGCTCCAGAATTGGCTCAGGGGGCCTTCGAATGGCCCAATGGGGGCCCCAGATGGCCAACGAGGGCACCCCGACACTCGAGGGGTGACAAGGGGGACCTCCTGTCTTCTCTGCCTCGGCATCCTCCTTGGGGAGCCTGCACCCCCCCCTCCAGTGCCGGTCTCCGTCCCCCCCCTCCTGCAAGAGGATGCAGCGAGGCTGAACTACGGGCTTCCCGCAGCCGTCGATGCCACGAGAACCCTCCAGGGACCACTCTGAGATTGATGAGCGTGTTTTCCACCACCACCACCATAAGTTGGAGGGGGGGGTCCTCCTCCTCCTCCTCCTCCTCCTCCTCCTCCTCCTCCTCCTCCTCCTCCTCCTCCTCCTCCCCCTTCGCCCCATCCAACTTATGGTGGTGGTGGTGGAAAACGCGCTCATCATGAGATGGCCGAGACCCTCCCAGGACGCTCACAGGCAGCCTCCAGCCCCAGAGCCCGGAGCCTTCAGTAAGCCTGGGAGCCCGTCCGTCCCGAACGAGCTCCCATCGCCTGCGATCGAGACGGCACGTGCGCGTTCGGGGCCGGCGCCTGGGCCAAGGGCTCCCACGAGGGCGCGAAGTTATTCGCGCTTCGCGCTTCGCGGTCCTCGTTTCTCCTCCCCCTCCTCCTCGTCCTCCTCTTCTCCCCCTTGGGGGGCGGCGCGAGAGCGCGAAGTTATTCGCGCTTCGCGCTTCGCGCAGCGCGAAGCGCGAACTTAGGAGCCCTTGCTGGACCTGGTCTCGCCTACACCGCAGTCAGCTACAGCGCTGGGATCAGCGCCTGCGAGAAGGGTGAGCAGTGGCAGCGGGCACTGGCGCTGTTCAGCGAGATGTTGGCGGTGAGTTTAGAAAACAATGCCATCTCTACTGTTCAGCCACGCGCAGAGGGGGGAGGGGGGAGGGCTTCCTAGAAACACCCCTGCTTCTTAGAAGGCGCGGGCCTTATCTATCGATGTAAGGCCAGCGCCTTCTAAGAAGCAGCCTGCTTCTAAGAAGCCCTCCCCCCTCCCCCCACCCCCTTGTGCGCGCCGCCAAACTGTATTGCAGGCATGCGCGCGTGCGCGAAGTACACCGTCCTGATGGCTCTTCCGGCGCCCCGGCGGGCCCTGGCGAGCCTCCAGGGCGGCCCCGGGCCGCCTCAGGACGTCCCAGGGCGCTCCAAGACGCCCAGAGAGAGCCCCAAGAGCGCCCACAGACGGCCCCAGATGCTTCCCAGGCCGCTCCAAGAAGCCGACGCCGGTCCAAAAGGCACCCAAGACACTTGAAGTGGGCTCCACAAAGGACCCCCACGAGGGCCCCACGAAGCAAAATTCGTCCCAACCTTGTTGGAAAACATGCAAGTTTAGGATTTTTGGTCACTCGTTTTCACAGCGTCCGAGACGGCCCTCGAGGCCGTCAAAATCACCCCCAGACCTCCCCACAGGCCCCCAAGAGGGCCCCACGACGGCCCGGGACGGCCCAAGAGGCGCCCAAGACGACCCCTAAAGGGGCGGAAGAGAGACCCAATACAGCCAACGACTGTCCCAAGAAGATCCGAGATGCGCCCAAGACGGCTCCAAGAAGGCCGAAGAGGAGCCCAGACGGTCCAAGAGGGTCCCAAGAGGGGCCCAAGAGGCCCAGAGGAGGACTTGAGAGGCCCTCCGCCAGGCCCCAAGAGGATCCAAAACTGCCTGAAAGAGAGGGTGCCTGGCGTTCCTGAGACGCTTGAGGGAGAGCTTCGCCTTCAACATGAATCCAACAAAACAGCCCCCCCAAACGTAACGGAGCACGTCCAATCCAACAACAGCTTTTCTTAACACCTGATTGAATACCATGCCCTCCTGGAGGAGCTCTGTCGGGCCCTCCCAAGAGATCCTTGCGAGCCTCCCTGGCGCTCCCGCCCCAGAGAGCTTCGACCTTAACGCAGATCCCCGAGAGACTTTGAACTTGCCCCCAATAGGAGGGGGGCGAACGAGCCGTGTGCCGGGGCCACCCACGCTGCTGGAGCGCTTCGAGAACTCGGACACGTAAGCGCGTTCTCGGTGCCGCCGCCCTGGCCGCCGCCGTGTTTATAGCTTTTCGGCAAACTTCCCGCCGTTCCTCCGAGAACCATGCCAGAAAGATGTGGTGGACAAAATCCACGGGCCAGCCCTACTCTATACTGCAGTACAGGGAACAGTGCGTGCGAGAAGGGTTTCTGGACAGAGTGCTCTCCGGCGGCTCCGAGCCGCTGAAGAGGCTGCCCCAACGGCCTCACGACGGTTCCGACACGTTCCAGAGGCCGCCCCGACGGCCCCAAGACGGCCCCCAACCGCTCAAGAGGGCGCCCCGACGACCCCAAGACGGCTCCGAGCCGCTCCAGAGGCCACCCCGACAGCCCCAGGGGCGCTCCGAGCCGCTCAAGAGGCCGCTCAAGACGACCCTCAGGGTTCCCCAGGACAATCCCCAGACGCAAAAATCGCCCACTCACATCGGCAAGCTAACATTTTTCGCATGCTCGTGCTTTTCGTCTCCGACGCGTCCACGACGGCCACAGAGCCCTCCAAGATCGGCCCCAGATGCCCCCATCAGGGCCCCAACACCGGCCCATGACGGCCCAAGAGGCGCCCAAGACGGCCCCAGAGGCACCCAAGAAAGCCCCAAAGACGGCCCCTGACTGCACAAGATTGCCCGAAGACGGCCCAACAGGCTCCCAATAGGCGCCCAAGATTGCCCACGACGGCCCTAAGACAGCCCCGAAGGCACCCAAGACAGTCCAGAAGTCGCCCAAGACGGTCCACGACGTCTCCCAGACTGTCCAAAAGGCTTTCAAGACGGCCCAGGACGGTTCCGAGACGGCCCAAGTGGCACCGACGAGATCCCCCGAGGGACCCCAGAGGCCCCCTCGAAGCCGAAAAGAAGCCCAAGAGGCCCCCACACGGCCCCCCAAAGGCCCGCAGCGGCTACAGAATTACCTCCAACAGAGGGGGGGCGGACGAGAGGTGAGAGGCAGAACGCAGGCCCCAACAGCCGTTTTCGATGCTCCGAGGGTCTACGACTGACGATCCAAGATCCAAGGCATGCAAGATCGAGGCAAGAAGGCCGAGGAGGAGGAGGAGGAGGAGGAGGGGAAGGAGGAGGAGGAGGACGAGGAGGAGGAGCAGTAGAAGGAGGAGGAGGAGGAGGAGGAGGAGAAGGAGGAGGAGAAGGCGGAAGCGGAGTCGGAGGCAGAGGCGTAGGAGCAGGAGTAGGAGGAAACCCAAGGAGGCTCTCAAGGGAGCCTCATGAGGGTTCAGATGACGTGCGGAGCTCTGAACGTGGCCCCAAGACGGCCCAAGACCAATAGGGCCACACAAGGTCCCGAAGAGGCCCACTGAGAGGCCCTCAACCCCCGAACAGGCCCAAGCAGGCTTCAAAACTGCCTCCAAGAGAGGGTGCCCGGCGTTCCTGACACGCCCGAGGGAGCTTCGCCTTCAACAGTACTCCAACAAAACGGCATACCCAACGTAGTGGAGCACGTCCGACCCAACAGCGGTTTCTGCTAAGATTTATGAAGTGTCACACCATCTTGAAGCTCTCTTGGGCCCTCCCTGGAGATCCTTGCGGGTCCCCCGGCGCTCTTGGTGGCTTTTTTCCCGAGGGCCTCCGAGCCCTTCTGGGCGCTCCTGAGATGCCTCAGATGGGCTTCGACTTTGACGCACATTCCCGAGAGACTTCAAAACTTCCCTCAATAGGAGGGGGGCGAACGAGCCGTGCGCCAGGGCCAAGCTGCTGGAGAGCCGCAAGAGCTCGGGCACGAAAGCGCGGTCTCGCTGCCGCCACCCCGGCCGCCGCCGTGCTTACAGGTTTAATCTCCGCCGTTCCTCCGAGAACCATTCCAGAAAGATGTCGTGGACGGAGTCCACGGGTTAGCCCTAGTTAGCTACAGTGCTGGGATCAGCGCATGCGAGAAAGGAGACCAGTGGCAGCGGGCATTGGCGCTGCTCAGGGAAATGGGGAAGGCGAATTTGGAGCCCGACATCATCTGCTTCACCGCTGGGATCAGCGCGTGCGGAAAGGGCGAGCAGTGGCAGCGGGCTGTGGCGCTGCTCAGCGAGATGCTGGCGGCGAAGTTGGAGCCTACCATCGTCAGCTACAGCGCTGGGATCAGCGCGTGCGAGAAGAGCGAGCAGTGGCAGCGGGCTGTGGCGCTTCTCAGTGCGATGTGGGAAGCGAAGTTGAAGCCCGACGTCATCTGTACTACAGGTCGCGGCGCGTGTGAGCAGTACGTCGCCGAAAATCCGCTCCAGAGCGCCCAAGAGCGACGCTCCCCGACGGGCTCAGAGGGTCGCCAGATGGCCCCGAGACAGCCTCAGACAGCCCCAAGACAGCTCTGCGACGCTCCGGAGGGCGCCAGGACGGCCGACTCCAAGAGGGCCCTCAGATGGTCCAGGAACTGCCTCGGAGAGCCTAACAGAGCTTCAAGTGGCACCCGAAGACGCCCCAGGAGCTGCCCCAGAGGCCCAAGCCAGGCTCCCGGGCGGCCCCAGACCTCCACCTTGCCCCACGATGGCCCGAGAGGCCCCAGGGACGGCCCAAGAGGGCCCTAAAATGGCCCAAGAGGGCCCCAAAAATCGCCCAAGAGGGCTGCTCAAAAAGGACTACTTCGAGGTGCCCTAGAGCCCCCCAACAGACTCCGACAGTTGCCAAGGAGCTCCCAAGATAGCCCCCAGCCCCAGCACACATCGCCGTTTCCAAATTTTCGGGAGCCCCCAAGAAGGTCCAAGACCGCGTAGATGCCCCAGACCACTCACTCCTAGATGCCTCGCAGCCCCCTAGGAGATTATGTGATAGTTGCCAAGGGGCCCCCACAAGAGCCTGAAGACTCAAGACCCGTCACCTTTCCCCGTTTCTGGATCACCCGAACCCCCAAAGAAAACCTCAAACCCCAAACACGCCATAGAAAGCCCCTCTCGTTGTCATCTTCTCTTTTCTTCCTCCTCGGTTCCTCCTCCTTTTTCTCCTCTTCTCTTCCTCCTCCTCCTCCTCCTCCTCATCATCATCATCCGTAACCATTTTGGCTCAAGGCCATGGCGCGCGGCGGCGTCCAAATGGATACCGCTGTGCCGCGGCCAGGAGTCGAGATTCCTTTGCAGCCACCCCCAGGGCGAGCTGCCGCCAAAGACTGGTCCACCTGGACCCACAGTTTTGTGCCCGCGAGGGCTCTCCATCGCAACGCATGGCGGCCGAGGAGGAGCGGCGCAGGGCTGGTCGCGCTGGTGGCGGCCACCGTGGCCCTGGTGCTGCTGACGGTCGCAGGCGGGTTGACAAAGGCAAGGAGCAGCCGCCCGCCGAGGACATCCGCTCCGCCTCCCGCAGCACCAACGAGCGAGCTCCTGCGCGGAGGCGTGCTCGGCGGGGCCATCCGCGCTCCGACGGCGAAGCGGATGCCTCGGGCTCTCCCGCCAGTGATCGTGCACGCCATGGCCCTGCTGGACTCGACCGCGCTGCACAGGAGGAGCTTGCCGCCGCCATCGAGGCCGCGGCCACCTTCCCCACGCAGGAGCGGCAGGGCATGCAGGTGGAGCAGACAACCACGGGCAATCCTCAAGCTGGACCTCATCACGCTCAGGGCGACCCGTGGCAATGCCCTGGGGGGGACCCGTGGCATGAACGTGCTGCTCCTGCCGACGGTCACGCTGTTCCTCCTGCGGCGGGCACGCCCATCGGCGGGATGGCCACCCCCGTCGACGCTGGCGGCATGGACATGCAGGCCATGTTGCAGAGCTGCATTCGTCAAGCCACTGATGCCATCGCTGCCACTTCTATGGCACAAGTCACGTCATGCCAGACGCAGCTGGTGCGCATGTTTCAGACCCAGCAGGAGGCCGTCAACATATCCCTCGCAGTGCAGACGCGCGACATCGCCTCCATCGGCCAGCGCGCCGACGCACTGGAGGCCGAGCAGGCCGCCATGCGCAAGCAGATCGGCGACATCAACAAGGTTTTGGCCCTCGCGGAGAAAGAGTTGCCCCTCATGGACTTCCAAGAGCTGGAGGCTTGGGCCCGTCAGCCCAACCCGCGGATCTTCTCGATCGGAGCGCCGCAGTTGGTCGGCCCTGCTCAAGCGCTGCAAGGCCTCGAGGAGTGGATTCGCGCTGCCGGCCTCACCAATGACATGGTCCGCCTCGACCCCGCTGTCCCCTCCAAGCGCTTCAACGTCCTCGTGCAGGGTGGCGATGGTGTCGCTCTACCCCGTGCCCAAGCTCTCGCGCGGCAGCTACGAGACCCCGCTGGCAGGAACGGGTGGCGAGCTTTCTGCGCGCAGAGCGTCGGAGGCGGCACCGTCCCGCTGTACATCTCGCCCGACAAGTCACCCCAGCAGGTGCGAATGGAGATCCAGTCGAGGAGGCTCTCGGCCCTGCTGGCAGAAGCTCATCCTGATCTCTCTTTCAGTGCTCAGCGAGCTCGGGGCATCATCACCTCTCAGGGCGTCAAGGTTGCCAAGCTCGAGATGGGCGAATCCCGCCACACCGACACGATCATCAGGTGGAACCCAGACATGGTGGCCAGGCTGCACATCGACAGGGAATCCATCAACATGCCGTTCAAGAAGGCCTTCTCCGTGGAGGACAACACCGAGTGGATTTAGCACGCCGCTGTGGGCGCCCTGGCGTCCCCCTGGCGCACGACATGGCTTCCGTGGCCTTCACATGGTTGTGTGGAACGCCCGTGGCCTGCTCCACTCGGATGCGAGGCTGCGCAGACGCAAGCAGGCGCTGCTTGCATCGTACATGAAGGTCAATGCCATCATCGCGGTGCAAGAGGTCCACGGCTCCGAGGACGCGCTCAGGATCTTCCTCCAGGCGCAGCCGCAGAAGTACATGAGCTTCCTCTCCCCTGGCCCCTCTGCCGCCGTGGGCGGTGTCGCCTTTCTCGCCCCTCGACTCATCGATGAATGTCCAAGGGCGGAAGGACCCAGAGCCGAATCTCTGGGATGCAGGGGTGCTGCGCCGCGGGAGGGTTCCCATGCGTGCGCCGCGCCCCCTGCAGCATCCTTACCGACTCAAGATACCTGGTCAAGCTCACGTACCTCCGCGTCTTCATCGGCTGCAAGTCGCCCCGACACTCGGTCAAGTTCACGAAGTCCTCCATCGACATCCAGGTCAATGCCGAACTACACCCGGTCAAGCTCACGAAATGCCACTCCAGCCCTACCGTCCTACCGCTTCGTCTCAGTGGCGGCAGGCCGCGCGGCGCTCCTCACGATCGCCGACAGCACGGGCAAGTGCAGCATGCAGATCTTCAACATCCACAACTACGACCTCAAGCCACACGAGTTCGCCGCCATTCAGCGTACCTGGTCCAGTGGTTTGGCGTGGGCGCGCCGCGACTCGTTACATCGCATCTTCCTGGGCGTCGGGGACTTCAACATAGCCTCCCGCCCGCCAGTCAGTCAACGAGCGCCCTCTGACGCTACGGCGTGGCGCCTACGACCTGACCATCGATGCCAACTACGACAACCTGCGTGGCGCCGCCTCTTCGCTGCTGCCGTGGAGATTGAATCACAATGGCCGACTCACTACGACAAGTCCTGCAAGCAGCTGTCCACGATCGACCGCGTCTTCTTGGGGATTGACGCGCACGCCATGCTGTCGGTCTCAACGATCCTGACCACCGCGAGGGATGCGATGGAGCTCTCCGAGGCTGGCATCAGCGACCACGCGCCCCTCGTCCTGCAGATCACAGCTGCTCGCCACGTCCCGCGAGACGAGCAGCCGATCCCGACACACCTCTTCAACCACAGGAAGTACCCCGAGGCCTACTCGCTCATGCTGGCGCACTGTGCCCTAGCGGGGGAAACGGCGGAAGGTCGCTGGAGAGCAGCGAAGCAGTGCATGAAGCTGGCTGCTCGTCGTGTTCGGGATGAACAGCTGAGGACCAACTTCTCCCTCCTCGTCAGGGACTCCACGGTCGAGACCTCGTGCATGGGCTTCAAATAGGCGGCGAGAGCCGTATGGCGACAGGATGCTGTCCTCGCGGGCAGGCCCCTCGACTCCTGCCCCGCACTGGCGGCCCACCTCAAAGTTACCGACGGCACCGTGCACATTGTGGATCCCAACAGCTTTGCCACTAACTTCGATGCCATCGCCGAGCGGGTGCGCACTATGAGAAGGCAGGTGGCGGAGGCCGCAGCTCGGACAGCCAACGTGCGCGACAGTGCAGCTTGGCGGAGAGTTGAACGCAAGGCCGCCAGACACGCTCAGCTATGGGTTCCGTGGCGGCGTCGCATGATCCTCTCAGGCTTGCGCGTGGACTCTGCACCGTGTGCCGCCAAGGACTCGCAGGTCGCTCAGCACGTGGTCTCCGACCCCGCGGGCATGAAGACGACTGTGGCGAACTATTGGGGTGAGATCTTCGCGAAGGTGCCGAACTCTGAGCAGCTCAAGACACTGGACTCGTTCTTGGACAAGCATGCACCGAGGAACCCTGTGGTGGAACTTCCTCAACCTGCCCTTCACAACCTTGAACGAGCGGTCAGCAGGGCACCACCAAGCGCTGCGGGACCTGACCAGCTGACGTATGCAGCATGGCGCCGCAGCCCTGGAGCGCTGCAGCATCTCCACGGGCTCGTGGAGGCCATCTTCAACGACGGAGTCGCCCCGCTCGACCTCAACTGGTCGATCTTCATCTGCGTCCCCAAGGGTACGGAGGAGGACGACGTCCCTGACTCATGCACGCGCACGGCACCCACGGTGCGCACCCTTTCCCTCAAGAACTGCGACGCCAAGCTGATTGCGGCATGCGCGGATCGCGGGCTCCAGCCTATCGCCACATCATCTACCTCACCCGAGCAGAAGGGCTTCACTGCTGGGCGGCGTTTCGTCGACCACATCCCATTCTTGGACGCGGAGTGCCGCAGGGAGGGCCTCCTCCCTGATGCTGCGTCCCGCCGCCCCATGTTCCTGTCGTTCGACTTCCGCCAGGCCTTCCCCTCGCTCTTCAGGGAAGTCATCGAGAAGGTCCTCCCGCGCTACGGGGTCCCGATGGGCTTTCGCAACGTGATCGTGGCGCTCTACAGCAACTGCCTCGCCTTCAGCTCTTTCCGAGCCGAGGGCACCAGTGCGGAGCTGGAGCCGCTGTTTGCGCTCATGTGCGGCATCATGCAAGGATGCCCGCTCTCTGGCACGGTCTGGTGCCTGGCCATGGATGCTCCCATCCGCGCCCTGTTGGCAGCGATCGCCGAGGATGGATCC